GCAAACCGCACTCTTCTATCTTCACTAATAACGGAGATACCATATGATTTCAACCAAAATGGGACACCCTGTACACACATTTAAGAGGAAAATATACCTACCTATATAAATTTATAAAATAGTATAATGGAAAATAAATTTCTTGCAGTTTTTAGGTATATAATAAAAAGAGTTTCTTGCCTTGAACTGCTAATATAGAAATTAATTCCACGCTGTGTTCGACATAATGTGGATCAACCTGCTCTCACTACCGGTTTAGGGGCCCTACCCCATCATCAGGTGAGCTTGGGTATTTCCACAATATGTCGAGCACAGCGCAGAGTATATAAACACGACTTGTCGTAAAAAGAAAAACTGCAAGAAATGTATTTTCCATTATATAATTTGGGCTAGCCGAAAAAAGCCTTTATTTACTATCGATAGTTGTGCCTCGGTGGTACGAAAGTACTACCATTGCACGCAGGCCGCTATCTCGCGATGCGGGATTTAATATCTTACCGCTACTTTACGACAAGTCGTGTTTATATACTCTGCGCTGTGCTCGACATATTGTGGAAATACCCAAGCTCACCTGATGATGGGGTAGGGCCCCGAAACCGGTAGTGAAAGCAAGTTGATCCACATTATGTCGAACACAGAGTGGAATTAATTTCTATATTAGCAGTTCAAGGCAAGAAACTCTTATATAATTTTATTTTATAAAATAGCTGTACATCATTCTGCCGAGAGTTTGAGCTTTAATATATTTTTGAACTGGTTCAGATTTGATGAAGTTTTAATATGATGTGGTAGTCTATTGAATCCTAACAGTCCTTTGATACAGTGCATTTGCTGTACTTTTTCTATTCTTAGTTGTGAAGAAAAAATATTATTGGTTCTAGTGTTGTCTGCTTTGTTTATAAAAATGAAGACTACACGGAAAAAAACAGCTTTGTCCGTTTTAATTGGGAGCCCAGCAAAATGCAAGTTGGTGTTAGAATCTTATCCCTGTACGTTATTGCAATAATAATAATCAGGTACGGATTAAGGGGGATCCACTATCTCCAGTACTGTTTAGTGTAGTATTAGAAAAAGTTATAAAAGATGCGGAAATCAACAGAGAGAGCCCTCTGTACACAGAAAGAAATGCTTAGCCTTTGCAGATGATTTAGTTATCTTAGCAAGAGATCGGAACGAGCTGACCAAAATCATCGGTGACCAAAAAACTAGAAGGTTAAACGCAAAAAGTAGGCTTAGTGTTTAATGAGAAGAAAACTAAGTTTCTGGAGTGATCACATAGGGATTTTGAGAAGGGAAAATGACTACAAATAGATTCTGAGGGAGGGAAACGAAACAAGTTTAAGTAACTTTTTAGTATTTCTAAGGAAACCAAATGTAACTCATCAAATTGTGATAAGAATAATGGCAGGAAATAGATGTATTAGTGCACTACAAAAAATTATTAAGAGTAAGAACATCTCTAGAAGTTTAAAAATCAGAATATACCAAACAATGATATGACCAATAGAGCTGTATTCATGTGAAACGTGGACAATGCAACGGAAAGTTCGAGGCTAGAAACTTGGGAAAAAAAATACTGAGGAAGATTTTTGCAGGAACGAAGATAGACAACATATGGACCAGAAGAACAATCGAAGAATTAAAATAACTATATCGGGCAGAGAGTATCACGGGAGTGGCAAGAGCACAAAGAGTGAGATGGCTGGGACACATTGAAAGAATGAAGCAAGAGCTGCTAGTATGACAATGAAACGTGAAATATGTGGAAAGAGAGGGTAGACCGAGAACCAGATGGAAAAAGGATGTTGAAGAGGACTTGTCAAAGACAAGAGTGGATGGGTGGAGAAGAAAGGCGAAAGACAGAAACAAATGGAGAAAGACTACCAATCAAGCCATGAGCCTTTAGAGCTATTATATCATTATTGCAATATTCTGAAATCACTGTTCGGTTTTTATAAGATTCAAAATAAAAAATATATAAATTATAAAATTAGTAATTTTTTAATGGCCATAATGCGTTCTTTCAAAATCATCTAAAACAACAAAATCATTTCCATAGATCCAGTGACGTACCGTGACGTTGAATTTTGAGACCAAAAACTGAAACAATAATTTGTCAAAAAAATCATATTACAGCTATATGTTTTATTTTGCATAAAAATGTTAACTAATAAGTTAGAATAATTATAATTCTTCCCTAACTAAGTGGTTTTATCGCTAAATTTAACTAAAGTTAAGTACAACACAAATCTTAAATACGTGGACTATTATAACAACAAATACATCGTAAAAGACTATTTTGGTAGCATTCTGAACTAGAATTCAAGTTAAACATTTTAGAAAATAATTTAAAGGAACAATGTTAATTCAGTTAATATTAATTTTTGTATACTGCTCAGATTTATCCGATCTTCTATCATATATTTTGGAAATTAGAGAATTACCTGAAGATTTTCATCTAAAAATTGGCATTGATAGTGGAGGTGGATCACTTAAAGTTTGTCTGAATGTGCTCCCTGAAAATGATCCCAAATATTTCAAGAAATATAAAAGTGCTGGAATTAATAAACTATTCATAATTGGCTTAGGACCAGAGTTGTCTGAATCTTATACTAACATTAAAAGCCTCTTTGAGACGTTAGATCTGCAGTCCATATGTGGAATTTGTTCCTATACTTTTGTCGCTGACTTTAAGCTTATTATGATTCTCCTTGGTCTTCAGTCAAATTCATCCACTCACACTTGCCCATGGTGTGATGTAAATGTCTAAAGGAAATGGACATTAAAGGATCATTCAGAACTATAACAAGTATTACAGAAAATACAAATGTATGGCAACAATCTGGAGGAAATCTAACAAAAGCCAAAGATTTTAGTAAGCGTTTTTGTTTGAAATATATTTTTAAACTGTTGTTCAATGAACCATATAAAAAAGGGCAATTATTTTTTAGAAAACTGTATAAACATATCTTTAATCATTGGCGACGAAGAAACACCTGTCTTAAAGTATATTCCCCCTCCTGAGCTTCACCTTTTGTTAGGTGCGGTTCGAAAACTATTTGATAGTCTTGAATTGGAGAATACAAATGTTGCAACAGAATGGATAAAAAAAGCGGGATTGAAACTAGATCATTATGGAAAATGTAACGGAAATAACGCCAGACAACTTTTAAAGAAAGTATATATTTTGAAGACGATATCGCCCAGTAAAAAATCCTATTCAAAGTTTTTAGAAGCAAAAACCTAAACATCTTTTTTTTAGGAAATAAATATATTGCAGTGTTTTCTGCATTCAATCAAGTAGTTTCGAGTTGTTTTGGTCAAGCACTAAACAAACATTTTGAACATGACATCGAACAATTTAGATTGGAAATACTCAACTTAGGTATTAAGATAACTCCAAAGATTCATGCAATTCTGCATCATGTGCCAGAATTTATAAAAGTAAATCATAGAGCTCTAGGATTTTACTCGGAACAAGCATCTGCGAGCAGGTTCATTTTCCCTTTAAATTATTTTCTAAAAAGTTTAACTTGAATCCTCGTTCAGAATGCTACAAAAATAGTCTTTTACGATGTATTTGTTGTTATAATAGTCCACGTATTTAAGATTTGTGTTGTACTTAGCTTTAGTTAAATTTAGCGATGAAACTACTTAGTTAGGGAAGAAATATAATTATTCTAACTTATTAGTTAACATTTTTATGCAAAATAAAACACATAGCTGTAATATGATTTTTTTGACAAATTATTTGTCAGTTTTTGGTCTCAAAGTCACGGTACGTCACTGGATCTATGGAAATTATTTAGTTGCTCGATGATTTTGAAACAACGCATTATGGCCATTAAAAAATTACTAATTTTACAATTTATATATTTTTTATTTTGAATCATATAAAAACCGAACAGTGAAATACCGAAATAAAAATATCAAAATGCAAAACAAAACAAGGAAAAAACCAGGGATGACTAAATAAAGGTTGTATAAAACCTAAATCTAAACTATTTTTTTTTTCGTTGAAGAAAGAAAATTAATATTTGAGTAGGTTTTCATTAGAATGCATAAATTTACTACATGTAATACTAACTGGAGGATGCATGCTTGTTGCTAATAATGAAAGTATATTTTCTTTCTTTTAGAACGATCTTTATTGGCCTGTCTTGTAATTTCTGAAGCTTATTCTATGCATTCTTATTACATACTGACAATACCGTCCGACGCGACGGGCTAAAGACAAACTGTAGCAAGTCTAATGTACCTCATAAATTTATGATAATTGAAGAACAATGAATGTATTTCCAGTTATTATGTTTCGTTTCTTTTTGTATTTAACTTATAGAGTTTGATCATTTCCTCAAAGTGGTGGCTCATGATCAAACCCTTAACCCATTTATTCCCGGGGATAGAAATATATAAAAAAAAACATTTTTTTTTAAATACTTTTATTATTATACATATAAAAAGACAAATTTCATGTTTTGGAAAATTCCCAATTCATTTTTTAAAAAAAATAATAGTGGTGCGTTGGCGAACCACTGGTATAAAAAACTAAATAAAACTTTTCTAAAAATATTCCTAACTGATAAAAACCCTACTAAAGTACACTTAACACATCGGAATTATCTTACATTCTACTTAGAAGTATAAAATAAAACACTAAAACGCTCAAAAACAACTAATTTATCAACTTTTATTTGGTGCATGTATGAACCACTGGTAACAAAGATTATTACTTTTGGTGATACGTAGCAAAGCACGGAACATGCAAATGTACCTTACATTTTTGACATATATACATACTATGATTATGGCAAACTCTACATCTCCTTCGAGCCTTAGTTTCGTGGAAAACAATGGTGTGGCCTTGATTATCAAAGCGAATTTCGTCAATAGATTGTGGAATGTTTCTAATAACTGCAGCAACTCTTGTAGATTTCATTAGACGTAGTGCAACATATGATTTGAAATCGATTTGAGATATTTTACTATTGTTAGCAACATTATAAAGCTTCCAAGCATTCACCATAATACTGTCCAAAGTATTACAGAATAAAGGCCACCACCATTTTTTCCCCAAAATTCTGGTTCTGTAATTGGCTATTCCGTTATCGTGCAAATCCACACCTCCCATATATTTATTATATTGTGTGATTACATTAGGCTGTGGAACAAAAACATCTTTTTTTTCTTTTCTATTATAACGTTTGACTTTATTTATAGGTTGCACATTATGTACGTTACTACAAAGCGTTACGCAAGAGTTATCATTCCAACGTACAACTGAAACTTTCGAATCTTTATCATATGCCATATCAAAAGCGCCGCGTTCTTTTTTCGAAAAACTTTTACTATTTTCTAGAGGGCAATTATTCGTCCTATTTTCTCTGATAGTTCCAGTAGCAAAGTAACCAGTGTTTTTCAGGTGAGAAAATAATCGAAAAGATGAGAAAAAATTGTCGAAAAAAATTTCATGGTTGCTGGGCTTTTGGATAACAGACAACAAACTCATTACAACGTCACCGCTTAGTCCAAGCTCAGAATATATTTTTTTTTGATTCCCAGCATATGGCATTGTATAAAATAAATACCCGTCAGAAGAACATAGGCACCAAAGCTTGAAGCCAAAACGTACCGGCTTGCCTTTGATGAACATTTTACAAGAATGCCTTCCAAAATATGGCACCATTTGTTCATCAATTGATAAATGAAAATTGAAAATTCCCCATTGCAAGTTTTTTCTATTGATTATGTCCACAAAAGGCCTTATTTTGGAGAACTTATCATTTTTGTCTAATTGTTCATTGTCAGACAGATGCAAATTTCGTTTTATACTATAAAACCTGTTTCTACTCATGCAATTTTTCACTATGCCCACACCTTTGTCTTCCTCAGTGGACCAGTACATTGAAGTTTGTGGTAAAGTGTGATATCCGGAAAGATACATTATTCCTATAAAATTTAACAATTCTTCCTTAGAGACTATGAAGTCATGTCTATTATTATCTGCAGCATATTTATGTGAATATCTCAAAACTAAGTCTGTCACTTCTTCGTCAAAAAATAAAAAGAACACTTCTAAAGGTGTCTTACCACCTACAGCTACAGCTACGTTTTCTTTGTCTTGATGTTCAGTTGATATTGGAGAGTGTGTATATTCTATTTCTCCTTTGAGCCACTGCGGTGCAAGAACAGTATTACGGGAAACTGAAGCAGTAATTTTTCGTTTTTTGGTTTCTAAAGTTTCTTCATCAGAAGAGTCCCAATCGTATTGTTTTCGTACATTTTGATCGACATCTACAGAATTGGAAGAGCTAGGGATGTGAAGTTCGAAAGTACCGACAATATCGTTTGGCTTTGCCGTTTCCGCCAATATATTCTCATCATCTATATCTTCTTCATCTGTCAAAGCATCGGTGTCTGGAGGTATATAAACTGCATCCAGTACAACTAATAATAAAAAACAAAATTTTTATTGAATTATAAACTATAGATGTAAGTAAGTGATTTCTTACCATTATTATCATTTTCCAGCTCAAAAACAACACTTTCCAATTCCTCTTCTAATTGTCTTTGCGTCAAAAATCGTTTATAAGGCATCTTAGCTAACTTACATGCATATAACACGAAACACAAACTAATAATAACGCATTTATTCGATTATTATGACTGTGCACACGTTCGTCAAAACTTGTCAAGACCGGCAAAATTCGGCTTCTAGTTTATTTTTATTACCAGCGGTGCGCGAATGCACCACTAATATTTTGGAGAAAAATTAAGGTTTTTATAGAGACTGTGGTAAATCATCCTTTTTATCATAAAAACGGAAGATCATGACAGATTAGTAGTAGTAATAAAAAAATGGAAATAATTATTAAAATGTGGAAATTTTTCAAAATTCCATTATATAGTTTTTGCAGATTATTTTGTCACATTTTATACGTTTGTATTTTTTATTACCCGAGGAGAAGAAAAGCCTCAATAAGTATTTTTATTAACAAAAATCTATTATCAACGAATGGGTAGAAAAATCTAGGCTCCAAAACAATATTTTAATCGAAATTTGATTTTCATAAGTTGCTGGTGCATTCATGCACCAATGGGATAAAATGGGTTAAATGTCACTAACAAAATCAATGTCAAACCACTATCAAAAAATCTTTATTTGTTACAAATAAATATTTTTTTCTAGTGGTTTGACATTGATTTTGTTAGTCACATTTAAGGGCTTACCTTCTATTAAGGACTTTATTTTTAATATTCACTCTAGTTGCTTCAAAAATTGCAGTCAAAAATTCTAGTGGCTTCAAAAATTACAATAATCTCTCTTTTATTGATCTGTAGCACCATAATCCAAAATGAATGATATTTCACACGGTGAGGTCATTTTTAACGCGGTCGAAAAAAATAATAAAAAAAAAGATAATATTTTGTTTCAAATTTAATATACCTACAAATAAGCATGAAATAATTAACATTACTCTTTCCACTATCACTATTCGGTGTTGCGTACAATACGTTGTATCATATGTGGGCTCTGTTAAAGTAGTTATAATTTAATCTCTTAATTAGCATCCTTTTTTCCTGTTAATGAAGACATCTTTATTATTATGCCTAACGTGTCAAATTATCTCCACCGACATCTGCGACAACAGCAGACTTCAGTACCTTTCAGCGCTTAAAAACACAATAAAACTACCTTCCTTGAAAATATTAATAATTTTGATAATTTAATTTCGCCACGACGGACATAAGATACCACAGATAAGACGTTTATTTTTCTTTTTGTCTTTGCAGCGAAGGAAAAATTTGCGATCGTAGAAACAATTTGGCTGACATTTTTCTATAAACCTAATTAACGACCTTTCCTCTGTATTTTCTTTAGTAAAATATGACGAGAATAGACTTGTAAATAGTCCTTGTATGGACATTTGCGTCGCACGTCTTTGAACGAATAACACTATATCAAAGGCTTTATCTAACACGAGGCGACTGCTAAAAGCCGAACATCTCGCATACTTTGAAATTTTCCGTTATCAAGATTTTTCGTCACAGTTGGGAAATTCTCTGAGAAATACATCCTTTATATAAACCATGAATATTCGAAAATAAACTTCCCTTCGTGAAGGCTAGACTAGAGATTATTTAATTTATCATATTTATTGCAAGAACGAAGATACTGGAATCAAGCAGCGCAAATAAAATTGTCCAATACTATGTCCAATCCCATACAAGTTAGAAGGGCAGTGCGACAGGGTTGCTTGCTATCTCCGCTCCTATTTAATTTATACTCAGAAACAATGTATTTTCTAAGAGGCTCTGCAGGACGTGGAAATGGGACACAAAGTTAATGGAGTGTGAATTAATAATATCCGCTACGCCGATGATACGATCTTAATTGCAGACAATATACACGACCTACAACAACTGGTCAACAAGGTAGGAGAACAGAGCAAAGCAATGGGTTTAAACATCAACGTCAAGAAAACCAAATTTATGATAATATCCAGAAATCCAGATGTGTTTATACACTCCATCCTAACATTCAACACAATGCCCATAGAAAGAGTAGATAAATTTAACTACTTGGGCATCTAGCTCTCCGAAGATTGGACATCAGACAAGGAAATTAAATGTCGCATCGAACAAGCTCGGCAGGCATTCTTGAGGTTTCGAAAAGTACTTGTCTGTTCTGATTTTGACCTTAACCTTAGATTAGGATTCGTAAGGTGTTATGTGTAGTCGGTACTCCTTTATGGTATGGAACGTTGGACATTGAAAGCAGCTGCCATCAACAAACTGGAGGCTTTTCGAGATATGGCTATATCGCAGAATCCTGAAGATACCTTGGACGGCTAGGTTGACAAATGAAGAAGTTCTCAGACAGGTTGACAAAGAGCATGAATTGTTTGAACTGATTAAAAAGAAAAAAAAACCGCATACCTGGGGCACATAATGCGAAACCCCAAATATCAATTCTTGTTGATCGAAGGCAAGATCGAAGGCCGGAGGGGTACCGGAAGGAAGAAAATGTACAATCGTTAATACACACCGCCCGTAACACAGAAGCAATGGAAAATGTTATCGCAAACATCCAATGGATCTGCACTTGAAGAAGAAGATTGAAAAATCTTCAATTGTTTTTTATATTATTTTAATAATAGTAGTATCTTTCAATTGTCAGTTCCTTTCAAACCTTGTACAAACTGCAATTGAAAACGGAAAAGCTATAAAAACGCTAAGAAATTTAACCTAAAGTAACTGCAGGTCGCACAACGTTCAATGGAACGAAATATGCTGGGAATAACCAAGAGAGACCGTAAAAGAATAGAGTGAATACTACAAAAGAACCAGGTAACAGATGTCATCACAAATGTCATTAAGAGATCTAGATGAAGACCGAAGCTGAGATGGGACCACGATATTAGAAAATAAGCAGGGATAACTAAGGCCCGCATAGCCAACAAATGGGCCCAGCTACAAGGAGAGTATGTGAGGGAGGCTACACCATAATTGGAAATGGCTGAATAAGCTGAAAATGATGATGATGATGAATTTCTTTCAAGCATAAACATTTATAAACAAAATACGAGTAGCGGAAAAAGGGGCCAAAAACCCTACATATATGCTTATTCTCTGCATTAAGTTCATCAGACCGAAGGGAACAGCCATTCGACGACCGGTTTCGGAGATTTTTCTCCATCGTCATGCCGACTTTGCTGTAACCCTCGATCTGACCAACGAAAAGCAGAGGCTAGCATTTGAGTACAAAACGTACTACTATGGCGAGAGTATTAGACGCTCTACGCCATCTAGCGGCAGCTGTGACAATCACATATCGTACCGCCAAAATTAAAACCAGCGGCCTACTGGACAAACATGCTAAGGGTATATATAAATAAACAAAATACAAGTAGCGGAAAAAGGGGCCAAAAAACCCTACATATATGCTTATTCTCTGCATTAAGTTCATCAGACCGAAGGGAACGGCCATTCGACGACCGGTTTCGGAGATTTTTCTCCATCGTCATGCCGACTTTGCTGTAACCCTCGATCTGACCAACGAAAAGCAGAGAATAGCATTTGAGTACAAAACGTACTACTATGGCGAATTATTTATATATACCCTACCTAAGCCTTCTTAGCTCCATCTACGGTAACGTGGATGAAGCAAGCATATAAACATTTATACTTATAAAACTTAAAGCAAAGTAATTTTTAAGGTAATATCACTGAAGCTTGTTCTTGAGCTCATTGCAGCGGAAAACTCTGTACCCTGAATTTAGTTTTACGATACACTAGATCTATTACAAGCCGATTTCATTCGACTTCTCAATGTAGAGACCGATACTCCCGAAGTCCCAAGGCATGCATGAATTCCAAGTCGCAATGCTTAATAAAATTGTTAATCTAGGAACAATGTTTCTTTTGCTACTTCCACTCATTAACTGTTGTTACTTGTACAGAAAAGAAATATTTTTTACGTACAAGAAATATTTCTGGATATGATAAAAATAGTCTTTTGAAGTGAAACTCCTTTACGCTCGCTGGGAGTAAAAATTCAGAGCCGTGACACATAAGCTAGTGGTAACAAAAAGTGGCAATGATCGAAAAAGTGGTAAGCCAATGAGTAAGATGAGATGGGTCTTTGGAGCATCGTAACTTGGACCCTAGCCATCGTTGACACTTCGAAGCCTCTGAATGGACGAAATCATCAGATTTTTTTTAATTATGGGTTAAGTTTTGGGTATAAATATGTTTAACCCCCAACTGGCGTGGTGAATTTTTGTACCGCTTATGGTGTTCTAGGGACCCCATTTTTGTTTTTCAGTTAAAAATAAATAATGAAGATATTTTATAAAAAGTTTGTTATTTCAACACTGTGTACAATATATTCAAACTTGTGAACAAACAATTTCATCCATTTTCAATAAACTAATAAGAATGGACACAAAAATATAGTAAAACGCATTTTTTAATTTTTTTTAAGAAATATAAGTTGGCTAAGGAACCGATAGAAATTAAAAACATATATATTTTATGATTTTCTCGTATTATTGAAAGTACAAAAACTTAAATATGAAGCTAAAGTGATAAACACATATTATTTTATCCAAAAAAATCCTTTATGGGTATTTCGTCACTGCACTGCAAGAAAAATCTACAAAATAAAATAGTTATTTTTTGTAAACACTTCTGCGTTAAACCTAAACGTGCGCTGCTTGTCAGAAGTTGTGTTTACAGTAATAAAAATTTGCCTAACAAAGAAAAAAATGCTTAACGTTTCGGAAAGTTTTCTCTTTCCGTCGTCGGAAGCAAAAGAATATAAAGAATCAAGAAAAAAACTATTTAAAATATTTAAATTGAACTATTCGAGAACACTTTACTTTTTAAAACAGATACGTCTACAAGAAATCGTTGACGTTCTCTTAAAATGACATTATATTAAGTTAAACTTCAAAATTAACAATTACTACCTGATAACAATTACTTAATAAGGTAAAACCAAAAAGCCCAAACTTTCTGTATGATTATTTTTAAATTTTACGTTGTGATAATAATAATTTTATGTTATGTTTATTTATGTTATGTTCTTTAAA